TAAATTTTCCGTATCCTGAACACTTCGAAACAACTATAGCTAGACAGGGCTTGCTATTACATCACGTCAGTACGGTCCCTAGGGCCTGTGGCTGATGCGAATATCAAATCGCTGCCGCCCCCAGACTCCATAACGCTCATCCATTAGACGGCGGGGAAAAGTGAGACCTATGTCCGTCATGTGCCATTATCACGGCCCGTCCAAACTTTCCACACAGTCACACTTATTCAATACAAGTATGGTTCACTGTGATCTAGTAAAACCGAATTATATCTCATTAAACGATACATCTTTTGATTTCCGCATTGATTCCACGTCGTCGGCGATTCACCAAATAAAAATCGGTTTTAATAGTAAACCCAAAAGTAGGTTTTTGTTTGGCTAGTACGTGGAATGTTTGCACTCTCCGCTGGACTGTCCCAAGGGGCCTGAGCTGGCACATTCTGACGACTGAACTAAGTAGAAAGATAGAACAGAATTAAGCGGGCCAATTATCCCGTATTGGATTTATTGGTAATCTCTGCACGAATGGGCGCTAGGGTGCGAATCGAACCAACTTTTGATGATGCCTCCATCGGTATTATGAACAAAGTTGTTGCAATTTTTATGTAGGAGGATTTATTGTTTCCCTACCTCTTGTTTTGCTCTCTTTTGTGCGTTGGCAGATAAAGAAAAAGCTCTGAAGCGTTTCATTGCGAAAAGACCATTCTTTTATTAATAAGCGCTTGTCAGATTAACCGAAGGATTATTTCTTACTTCGGTTTATTTTTATATATTGTTATTATTATATGTTTTATTATTTATTGTAAAGTATTATCTTAAAAATGATAAAAACAGACAAAAACAGACAAGACAGTGTATATTTGGATTGCCTTTTTGTACAAACTAGGCGAATTAGGTGACTAATAAACTCGTACGAACCAGTACGATAACTAGCTCAGTTATAACGATTAATATCCAGTTATAACGAGATATTAACACTTAATTAAAATAATACTCAAGTAAAATATTGAAACAGTTCTTAAAATATTATTATACAAGTTTTAGTAATGAATGACTTCCGTAAAACATTTTGAATATGCATTAATGCAAAAGTTCATCTACTTTAGAATCGACGACGACCCGATTGGCGCGGGGAGTAGTGAACGTGCCTCCTGCGCCAGAGGGTGTGGGTTCAATTCCCACTACTGGAAAAATATTGTGTGATGAAGATCGTGTTTTTCCAGTGTCTGGCTGTTTATATACATATGTATAATACGTATTTATTTACAAAAGAAAAGTATTTTAAGTAAGTTTATCAGTTTTGTAGTACCCATAGTACAAGCGTTGCTTAGTTTGGGACTAGAGAACGTTGTGTAAAAAATATTTATTTATTTATTTAGAATTCGAAGAAAGAGCATTAATGATGTTCATTAACAGAGAATGACCTTTGTTAATTTTAAGCACATATTTATTTATTTATTCATTCATTAACACACCGCTACTTACGTCATTTACAAAAAAGTGACAGTGTAGAAAATTATTAACAGTTTATGAGCTAGTAAAGTTACTCCCAAAAATCGCTTAGGTAAGTAATGGCATTGAATTAAATTACCTAAACTTAAATAGGGTTATCACAGTTAATGAATATAACTGTGTTAATTATTAACAGATTATGGACTAGTAAAGTTACTCCCAAAAATCGCTTAGGTAAGTAATCGAGTTAAATTGCATTACATAAACATAAACGGAGATATCAAAATTAATAAGTATAACTATGCTTTCATTTAATCATGTATTACAGTATTCACGTAAAAACAAGAAATCCATATGCTTTCAAATGCTTAATAAAGTCTCATGTTAGAGAACTTTATAATAAATTAGCATTAATAAAGGTGACCGAAAAGTTTTCACTAGCATCGCAATGGTACTGGAAGAACATATTATGTGTAATAAATTGCTAAAACATTGGAAAAAATACATTCGTGTACAAGTCAGTCTTTATATTATAATCAATAGTCGAAACCTCGCTGTCTCTCAAAAATAAACTAGCCCAATATTATATCTATAGCGTATAAGGGAGATTCATCGCAAGATTTATAAGTTCGACCCGTAGTGACGAAGAGCTCAAACTATGAATAGCGACAGACGGATCAGTCGGAATATTTGTCTTTTGATAGATTTTTATTTTCTCTAAAAAATTCCCTTATACTTGAATTTATCATGATATCACTTGACAAATAAGAATAAAATGTTGCAAATACCTCCACAAATACTTTGAGTAGAAATTTAGTTAATACCTACCAATATCTTTTAAAGACAGTAAAACAAATTAAAAAAGAACAAATATCGTTCGTATCTCTTTCATGAAATAAATACCTCATTTTAGAAAATTACTTACCGGTTTATAATGAGTTTTTATCCTTATTCATTGACATATACCTATCTATTAACACTTATTTACAGAAAAACGTAAATACTACCTTACATGATTAAATATTAAAAAGCATATGTGATAATCAATTTAAGGCGAAGCACTATATAAAATAATATTTTATAATATAACTTCTTGTAAATACTGGTTGGTAATCAAAATTATCATTACGTTTAATACTTTTTAAATCTAACACTACAAAACTCTTATTTATTTTTATTATGTGAGAAAGTGGCAATCTATCTGGCGGTTCACCTGATGTTAAGCGATAACCGCCGCCCATAGACATTTACAACACAGCAGATGCGTTGCCACCTTTTAACTTAGCGAGCCCCGGCAACCTCACTCACCAAAAAAAAAAACAAATCACGAAAAGCACAAGTGTAACACTTTTACTTCGCTCCGGTCTACCGGTACTGAGATCGTGGTACTTACCCGGACGGACCTGCCCTTTCATATAACAGCGAACACTGTTGCGTAGCCCTCCCACAGACACTATTCCTTAGCCAGCTTGTAGTTTACGTATCTCATGTAAGCATTAGAGTTGGATATTGATTAAGCTCTATATCAGCAATTCATTCCATCATTCCATAAATGGAAGAAACAATGTTGTTTCTCATGTCAAAAATAAACTCAGAAAAGCTTTTGCTATTTACTTGTACCTTTGTTTAGTGTACAATTGTTTGAGACTTTAGAGTTTTCATATACATTTCCTTATTTCTTAACAAAATATGCATCGATGGAACTAGATTTGTCTTGCATCTATTTCCCTATAAAGTGTTGTAAAGAACTCTCTGGTTCTATTGCCTCCATTAATAGAAAAGTAAAGTATCAGGCTATACTTGTCCCACTGTTAGGCAAAAGCCTCCTCTGTACAGTATCAGGGCAGAGTTCACCATGCGGCCCCACTGCAGATTTGCGGACTTCACATATCTTCGAAATGTGTTTGTTTTTGTTATTATTTCGATGTTTTTCGTTCGATCGTTTCCTCACGATGTTTTACTTCACCGCCGAGCACGTGATAATTTAGCACTTAAAATTAACAATTTCATTGGTGCCAGCACCGGGGATCGAACTCAGTTTAGAGAACTGAGATATCACGGCTATTGCCTCCATTATTTGTTCTATACTCATCGCATTAAAAGGGCAGCAGTAAGTTCTCAAAAGCATGTTGTGTTACAGCTTACTTATATAATGACCGTCAGGTTTTTTGCCTTTATTAATTTTAGACTCTTCCAAATAAGTTGTAGACAAAACATATGATATAAAGAAAATTTTATTTTAGTACACTTAGGAAAGCAAAAAGAAACAAGAAAATATATTAATTCCTCACCTACTGCTAAATTCGGCACTATGCAGTTAAAAATAAGCCACCAACATATTAATAGAATAATAATATCAAATCACAGAACTCTTTTACACGGTTTGGTCAGGCTTTATACTCTTATTATCATTTACTCAACAAACATAAAATAACTTTTCACTATATGAGACCATCTAATGCAAAACTATTTAGCGAATAACTGTCGAAAGGGACAAAAGACGAAATTGATATATTGATATAAAAGCAAAAATATGTTCGCGACGTATTGGTAAAAAATCTAAGTGATACGTCATAGCCGTCAGTCTCGGAGTCTGCCTCTTGGGTATTCGATAAAAAGTTTTTCCAACATTCGCTTTGAAGGGACATGCTAAGTACAAACGAGGAAATAGTACATGATATTTTTCTTTTGTGATACATTTCCCATTTATAAATAAGAATAAAAATTAATGAGCAATACCAATAGCTTAATTTTAGAAAAATAATTTTTTACGATCGTTATTTTCTTTCATCGTAGAATTGTGCAAGTGGCAAGCTTGTTAGACGTGGATTTTTACGGATAACTAAAAAAATAATACTAGTGCAGTATAAATTATAATTAAGTTTATCAAACATTACAATCTTTAAATGATCATGTATATTACATTAATCAATGTCGTTATATATGAATGTTATATATTGATTTTGAATCTCAGAGTTCCCTATTATAAGAAAAATTAACAAGTTCATTTTGATATTTATTTTTAGTAACATGTTACTAACATGGTTCGGCATTAATATTATATGGGAAGGAGGAAGTTATTTCCCTAATGTGGCCGTTAAGCATAATATATTGATAATTATTTCAGTTACTCCTCGTGAATATTCGACACTGTGCTCTCTTGCTGATTTACTGTTATGATGTAGATGAAAAACACATAGAGATATTACATAAAACATTTAGGTTTGGTAAGGAAAAATAATTGCAGTTCTCAATATAATCTCTATTACATATTCTAGAATCATCTTATTAAACATTAACAAGGGATAATAAAAACGCATTTGCATTGCATTACGATTAACTAGGTTCTTACTTCATTGACATAAACCTTCAAGAAACTTGAACTATTAGCTTATTCTTGAGTATGAAAACATTATCAACTTAAATAATTTGTACTCAACCATATTTTGTATAATAATTTCTTTCCATATTTTGAGATCAACTCAACCTGAGTTGAGAATGAGTAATAATGAAACCAGCACAAAATAACAAAAATGTATATTTTACTCTGCAGTTGAGGGAGCAGCCGTTGTTACCGGTTGTTGCGGCTCCGATTCCGTAGCAACAGAATTGGGACCTTTATCAGCATTTGTTTCTTGTGGACCACTAATAGTAGTAGCCGCGATATCAGTATGACCCGCTGTGGCAGTCGTTACGTCTGTTCCCTTTGACTCAACTGTTTCAGCACCACCAGTGCCAACAGTGCCATCAGTGTCATCAGTGATATCAGCTTCTGTTGTGATTTCGTCGCTACCAGACTGTGGCAATATTTTCTTCTCAGTGCTAGGATTTGCCCATGCTGGAACCGATGTCTTAGGAGCTCCCGAACGCCACCTAGTTTTAGTTGCCGCTGATTCTGATTTGTATTTTGCCCTGTCCTGTTTAGTGTAACAGGTGCACTTGCAATTTTTATCGGCGTGAGCCACGTCATAATTTAAATCGACACATTTCTGTATGCAAAGAAATGATCTTTCAAAGCTTTTACAATCTCCGGTCCTATGAAAGCCATAGCGCAAAGCTTGTTTTCTATCTACAAATTTGACATTATTTTTAAAATTCTATTTGTTTATTTACCATTATCATTAACATTTACTATACTTACTTGATTCAGAGCTTAAAATACCATCCGGTTCTGTAGGTAAAATAACTGAAAATATTTTAGAATTAATTATAAAAATCTTTGACATTTCTCTAAACTGTATAATTTATTTATTTTTTTAATTAAATGGCTGATAACATAATGTAACAAGCAATTCATTATATTTCTTTCAATTTTAAAATTACTTTTATTGTATATTGCTGCATATTAGACCACCAGATGTTTTCGTTAACGTCTGATGATCTGTAATAAATAAGAAGGAATTTTAAATAATTTGTAGTCGCTTACATTTCAGCTTCAAATATTTTTGATTTTTTATGGAAAACATTGCAACACAATAGTGCATTATAACCTTGTTATTTGGACCGTTGTCTTATCAATAGCCTACTCATCTCAATCTTACAGTCCAATATAACGAAGGTAAGCATAAATAACTTACATATAGTTGACATTAGCTCGCTTGCACTTGCCCCAATAATTAATACCATATAAACAATTAATACAAACAGCCTTGCCATTTTGGAATATTAAAGTTCACTACTAATTTCAACAATAACGTTTCAAACTCGGATTATAAACGAGAAAATTAATGTAGCTTGTGATTGGATTGGATGTAATAAACATCTCTACAAAATCATGTGTAATAATAATTAGAACATAAACTAAGTGAAACATTGCTAAGTAAATTACGCCAGTATCGTATGCTGCTTTTAAACAACCTACGAAAGTTATGCAAAACATTATTCTACGTAAATGCAATTTATGTTCGTTTGTCCGGTTCATCATTAATCAGATAGCGCAACTATCTCAGGCAAACTAAAAAATAAAATATCATAAAGGGCACTGTCCAGTTTATAACAAATAATAAACAATGAATAGGATATTGGAATGATATTTTTAACGAATCTAGATAATGTTTCAGCAATTTACTTAATAACTATATTTTAAGTTCCGTACCTGATGACCATTCAAGTGGTGCTTGTAACTTGAAAATTTGTCAGGTATGGATGAGTTTAGATTATCCAATAACTATGCTATTCGATAAAATGGAACATGGTTGGTAAATTTTTTAATTTAAAAATGTAAATAAAATGTTATTCAGAGAAAGACCTCCAACAATTTTTTCATTATCTTATCGAAAATTAGCAATTACAAATTAACATATTATTAAAAAAAGACTCTACTTGCATAAAAAATATATATTAAACGGAGTAAGATAACATGAGTTTTCTTTTCACTGGGCATGCATCACATTGCTTGGCAGATTTTATTTAATGGGCAGGGTCGACCGAGAAAATATCAAGGCATAGAAAAATTATATTTTTCGATACACCTGGGTCATGAGTGACATTACTGGGGTCACTCTTAAAATTTGGTAGATCATCTGAAACGGGGCTGCGGTAGACTTAGGTATTTTATTTTTTCCAACCGTTCCTCCTATCTACTCCCGTTTCATTGCACTGTACTGTTTGTATCCAGCAAATTAATACTACAATTGGTGTTATTTTAACGATCAGAACCATTTAAATAAAAAGCATTGCATTTTAAGGAATAATAATTATTATTATACTTTCCATCTACAATGATTAAATTTACACTTATCTGCTTATTAATTTTAGTTACAATATCCATAATTTCTTTATGTTGTTCCCGCAGTAGGAAGCAACGTGTTCGTGCTGCCACTTTGCGTACCATCCGTAACTTCTGTTGCATTACCACTGGAAGAAGTGGTCACAGCAATGGTGGTACTATCATTAGAACTGAGACTGTTCGCAGTCGACGTCGGGAAATAAAAAGTGGGGCACGTAAAATTCATCCCCGTATACCCTTGTTCAGTTTCAGTTTTCGCCGAACCAATAATGTCGTACAGGCGAGCGCTTTGCGTTTTGGGAACAGTTTTAGTGGTCCCATTGGTCATCCATTTGAAAAACGGCAAAATCGTACTGGTCTTCATATCGTGGCACGAGCATTTGCATTTGAAATTCATACGGAATATTTGAAACCCCATCATTTTACACGTGGTCATACATTTGAAACTCTTGACATAATCACCGCAGTGATTGTGAAAACTCAAGCCGTAATGTTTCCTGAATTCATCGTCTAATGAACATTAAAAAATATTATTACGAATAAAATTTTACATACACAATACATACTTTATACTAATACAAACACTAATGAAATATTAGTAATATTTTATGAAATATATAACAAATATTTCATGTATAAAATTCCGTACAAAGTAACACATAAAATTAAGAAAAACCAAATATATCATCCAAAGTTTCAACAAATTGTATGATAAAATATGGCACGAGACTTTAAATTTCAGAACTATAAGTACATACCATCAAGAGAATAAATTGGAACGCATGCCAAAACTAACAAGAAAAAAATCATTTTAAATTTGAACCTTCAGCCCGATGCATAATGAAATTAGAAAATAAACAGCGTTTATGTGCTGATATCCACGGTAGTTAAAATCTTATAACTAACTGACCATAATAAAGATATAATTAATTTCTTTCTTACTGATATGTGTTGTTACAAATATGTTTTGAAATTAAGTATTCTAAATATATTACAGGTACGACGAGGGAAACCATGGGATACCGAGGATTGAAATAGCATCAGAAAATGACGACGCAGCACCTTTGTAAATATTTGAATGAGACAAATACGCAAATAATTAACAGCAAAATCTGTTAAACAAATTTTTAATACAGTTACGAATTACACTGATTCCACATCCGAAAAAATATAAGAGCTTATGCTTGCGCAACACATCCTATTCTATTGGGGGAATTGTCAAGGTTATGGCTATTCAATACCTCGACTAATATTCAGTCGTCACTGAAGAATTTAGAGCAAAAGTGTTTCCGTATATACAGTATACATGTGTATGTAACACATGTATAACGTATATTTTTTATATTGACCTCAAGACTATGATAATTATGAGACTTTTTAAATAACTACAGTTTGCCATGGGCCACGCAACATCTTCGGCTGTTGCACGAATGGGCAGGTCTGTTCGAATAAGTCCCACGACCGGACAAAAGACCGGCGTGAAGTGAAAGTGTCATACTTTTGCGCTTCGTCGCTAAGTGAGGTAACCGAGTTTCACTTTATTTTAAGGTGGCAACGCATTTGCAACACTACGGGTGTTGCAGATATCTATGGGCGGTGGTTATTACTTAACATCGGGTGAATCGTCAGCTTGCCGCCTTCTGACACAAAAAAAATCATGCAATAACATTAAATTTTTCCCAAAATATTAGACAAATGCTTAATGACAAAAATTTAATGATTGTCTAATTTTGTTCATTATAAAAATACGTATTCTCGTACAAATATAGATCTAAAAATTTAACTCAATCCTAAACATTTGCATTGTCGTCGCTCTACCCGTAGTATCTAACTTCTAATTAATAAATCAGGAATGTGATAATGACGGCGGTGCACATCGGGGACGCTGCAAGATTCTCCGGACAGCTTCTCTATGGCCACCCAAATGATGATTTCATTATCAGTATGATTTTGATTGATGTAGCGAAAGAAGTCCCCGGCGGCCGAATTCTTTTCATAACTGACATATTTCCTTTGTTTATTACTTGGAACTAATTGATCTGCGGCGCCACAGTTTTTGAGCCACTCAAAATCCTGAATAGGGATTTCTGCAGATCGCGTCGAGATCTCCGAAGAGGACTCGTAAAACCATGTTTTTATATTTAATTACTTCACTTTATTCTGTTTATCTTGTGCACTAGTAAAAAACGGATATATTTTTAGATGAAATACAAAAATACTTCCTGTTATGACCGTTATAGGAAATACAATTTTTTGGAGGATAATCTTCAATTAACATTAAGATACAAAAATTTCCCTTTTATTTAATAGTATTAAAAATTCCATAGCGTTTTCATTTAATTGGTGTGTAACATAGCCTGTACCTTCTAAAACCCTGCTGTTTCTTTCTTCCTACATTGGAGAAGACGTCTCGTTCTTTTTTCTTATACTAACATAATTTTACTGAACTGCAAAATTTGGACCGTCTCGTAAACGTAATGAATTCGTCTCGCGTCTGTCTGTACCGACCGCAGACATGTGCGCCCGACTTTTGCAAAAAGTCCAACCTCTATGGATGGCATTCTTATGAAGAACGTTATGACAGCGACATAATTTTATTCAAACAATGACCGACGTCAAACAACGAAACACAAACGCTGATTCATAATTGCTACTGCTTAATGATTTCTTTGTTGTTTCAAAGTAATGGATGCTTTTTGTTTATACTTTGGTTGGGATTAAGTTGATTGCTCATGTATAAACATTTCACTTGTCAAAAAGATCGTAACTTTCCATGTGTAAAACAATGCTGTTTAATAATATAGATGAATAACATCAATCGTCAAAAACATAAAAATAAGTTACAAGGTAAATTATATTTAGTGATTGTGAAAGAAATCGAATAGATAATTTCAGTAAACCCCCCAGAGAATAATATTTTAAACAAGGTATCAAAATGTGAAAAAACTAATGTAATTTTTCATATTCAAATATATGTTTCGTCTATATAATTTCACCGTTAACTACTACAAACTAATAAAAATTTTATTCATCATGTGTTTTCATTATAGAAAAAATTATTTCATTAACTAAAACCTTCCCTTGGCTTATTCTTTTGCCATTATATAAAGTCGAAGTTTAAAAAGAATACTTGTACATTACACCTGTATTATCACGAGGTAAGGCTTTAAAGACGTCATATTTACGTAGATTCTATAGTATCTGAGTTTATGTAAAACCTAAGTTAACTGTACTTATGTATGCCTACGCTAGTAATAAAACAGGTCCGCGAGAGAAAGACGGAATGTCCGCGAATAAGGTGACAGGTCCACTCGCTTTACGCCAACTACGGTACAAATTGCGATATTAAGCACAGAGCGTGATGAAAAAACACTAGCTGAATATAAATTAGGTAGGAGGAACGCTATAATCAATATAAACGATCCTAAAGAAGATTAGAAAAATCCTGTAAGAAAACAAATTTCGCAGATCGAAAGAAATAAAAGTGACGAAACGATTGATTTTTATTCGTATTTGAAGAACTAGGGATGGCAAGAAACTGATATAATTAAAATTATATTGACAGCGATTGCAATTTTGATGATTACTTAATGTTTACATTCCACAGTCAATTCAGACAGTTAATGCGACAGTCTTTTCGCACTTTTTCTACATAATTTAATAATGTTTACATTCTCACACGTTCCTTTACCACGAGATTATGTTGCAAACGGATGCTGTATAAAATTACTGAAATATTTTTCTTTCCAATCCTGATATTTTCCTTATTTTATTTACCTTCAATATTTATAAAAAGCATAAGTCAATATCAGTTAATAACATGATGTACGTATTCTAAAACCTATTTGAAAACACTCATTAC